CAGGAATGCCAGGGCCATCGAGATCGTTGGGAAGACCCTGGGGCTTGGACGAGTTGGATGAAGTGGAGAGGGCAAAGTGCCATTTGGACGATGTGCTGCTGTTGCGTATGGTGACGCTCTATGTGGTGGCAAAGCTGGGTCGAGATGCACGATTGTCCCAGGAGAAGAATTCCGCGTTGCTGCCGACGGTCAGGTTCTTGATGGAGCAGCCTGCAGCGCCTCAGCACATGCCGGAAGTGGCATCCTTCTGGAGAACCGAAGAGTGGAGGGTAATGAAAGAGCACCTCAACTTGGACATGGTGACCTTCAACCAGGGTGCCTATGGTGGTATGGCGGTGAAACCTACCTCACTGGCATTGAACATGGAGTTCATGGTTCCCGAGGATCGGGGCCCGCCCAAGGCCTTCCTGAAGACCAAGCATGAGGTGTCGAGCTCCGAGCTGGCGAGATGGGCCCCAGGAATGATGCGAGAGATCGCAAGAAGCATCACAGTCAACATCCAGAAGAGGCGGGTGACGATGAAGGCCTTGTCTTGGCAGGAACACCTGGCCCAGGGGCATGTGCCGTTCCGCAGAGACTGCGCTGTCTGTCAGAGAGCAGCGGCAAGGGATCGACCACATCGAGCTCAAGGGATAGCGGCTCCGTGCGTGCTGTCGCTGGATCTGACAGGACCATTTGTGCTCGGCCATGACAGTGACGGCGACCTCAAGAAGTACCTCCTGGTTGGAGCATACACGTGGCCGGTCATGGAGGAGGCACCATGGGACGAGGTCGAACAGCTCGAGGTGATCCCAGACAAGGACTGGCCTACACTCGAGGAAGAGGAGGCTCTTCGGGAGGTGGAGTATGACCTGGCTCAAGATCTGGAAGCTCATGGTGAGGAGATGTCCTATAGACCTACGTCAGATGAGGGCGAAGATCTGGAGATGGGTGAGCCGGAGGAGGACGAAGGGCAGGGCGGAGGAGGCGGTGACCAGTTAGAGCCGCTACCTGATCCAGGACCCTGTGAACCCGAACCACCATCGGTGCCGCTCCCAAAGACTCCGGAGGAAGTCGAAGAGCACCAGAAGGCCTACGAGATGATCACGATGTCTATCTGCCTACCACTAGCCTCGAAGAGCGCAGCGGAAGTCCTTGCTGGAACACAAGAACTGTTTGGGATGCTGAGACGCCATGGCTACCCTGTGGCTAGGATTCACACCGATGCTGGCAGGGAGTTTGATAACAACCCGTTCAAGAGGTGGTGCTTGGAGAGGGGGCTGGCAAGAACCTTCAGTCCTCCAGATGAACACCAATCCAACGGTCGTGCGGAGGCCATGATCGCGTCGATCAAGCAAAGGGTCCGTCGACTTCTACATGCTTCGGGCATGCCCACGAAGTGGTGGCCGGCAGCGGCGAGACATGTCACGGAGCTGGAAAGAAGGAGAAGGGAGAACATCAAGGAGACGCTACCACGCTTTGGACAGCTCATCACGGTGAGAAAGCGAGCTTGGGAGCGAGGAGGACCTTTTGAAGCGACATCCGAGATGGTGACCTACCTGACCCCTACACCGCAAGTGTCCAAAGGGCACGCGGTTCTCACGGACAAGGAGAAGGTCAAGGTAGTGAGCTACTTGATAAAGGATGTCAAAGAGCCTAAGCCTGATGAACGAGACTTGGTCATGGAGGAGGTCCATATCCAAGACGACCCTGTACGGCTTCGCTGGAGGTTGAGAGAGAAGACACCACTGGCATGCATACGGGGAGAAGAAGACCTACGGAGGGAGGAGGATCGTCGAATGCTCTTTCAGGCCGTCTATGAGGAGGAGGGTCACTTGTTGGGATCTGCTCCAAGAGAAGTTCCTCCGTTGAGCCGAGGTCTGGTTGCTCTACGACAAGAACAGGTGGCATCAACCCAACGACTCTTGGAAGACGAGATTCTCCAAACACGGATCGTACCAAACGATGAGGTATACAAAGACCGGAACCTTTGGCTGGAAGCCATTATGAAAGAGATCCAGTCCTTGGAGGGCAAGAAAGCGATCCGGAGATTGACTCCCGCAGAAGTGGCCTATTACCAGAGAGAGCATGGAGACAAGGTGGAGGTGGTTCCAGGGAAGGCCATCCATGCGGTGAAGGCCCCTGACGGACGAAGGAAATGCCGCCTGGTGGTGTGCGGGAACTACCTGAAGGGAGCTGGAAGAGGTCCTGGAGACCGTTCGGAAGCAGCTCAGCTCTATGCAGGTGGGGCGGACACTACATGCTTGAGGACCTCATTGGCACTGGCCGCTTCGCGAGGCTGGCAGGCGGCTAGCCTGGACATCAAGACTGCCTTCTTGAACGCACCTCTACGAACACTTCAGGAGAGCAGCCGTAAAAGGAACCTCGCCTTGGAAGACGCTCATGGACGACTTCAAGAGGATCAAGAAGAAGATGGAGGAGGTCACGAAGGTCGAGAAGGGGCAATCACGGAAGAGCGGCAGGAGGAGGACCTCACCAAGAGGAAGCGCCTGGTGCTCATGCTCCCCCCAAAGATCCTCGTTCGACTGGGATTGGTAAAGGAGGGGGAAATGTGGCTGGTGGAAAAGGCTCTGTATGGCCTACGTGAGTCTCCAAAGCTTTGGGGGGACTACAGGGACATCGAGATCAGCCAGATGTCCTTTCAGGCGAACTCCGTCACCTATGAGTACCAACAGAGCTTCGCGGAGGAGAACTTGTGGTTGGTGCGCCGGAAAGATGCCGGAGATGGAGACCAGGTTGAGGGACTCGCCTTGGTGTACGTGGATGATGTGATGCTCTTCGGCACCGAAGAGATTGTGAGGGCAGGGCTCCAGAGCTTTCGAAGGACCTGGGAGACGTCCGAACCTACGTGGGTGGGAGATCGTGAACCAGTTCGGTACTGTGGAATGGAGTTGAGCCGAACTGAACAAGGAGACTTCTTTGCCAATCAATGTTCCTACTTGAGGGAAGTGGTTCGGCGACATGGCATGGAGGACCTTTGCAGCGCTCAGATGATGAAGGAATCCCAGGAACCCGAGGATGAGCTGGATCGCACGCCCTTGCAGATCCGAGAGGCACAACAACTCGGAGGAGAACTTTTGTGGCTGGCAACGAAGACGAGGCCGGACATTGCCTACACGGTCAGCCGAATCTGCTCAGCGACGAGCCGGGCTCCGAAATGGGCGGTCCAAACCGCATACCAGCTGATCAGGCACTTGAATGCCACGCAGGGCCTGGGCTTGTGGTACCGAAGAGACGCCAACTTCATCCTGGAGTCAGTGAGTGATGCCTCCTTCGCTCCAGGAGGTGCTCATAGCCATGGCTGTGTGATCACGACGGTGGCCGGAGCACCGGTGGCATGGAAGAGCTGCAAGCAGCCGTTCCCCGCCCTTTCAACGGCGGAAGCCGAACTCATAGAGGTCATCGAAGCTGTAGTTGTGGGGGACAGCATCGCATGTCTGGTTGATGAGATGGCGAAGGACGTCCCGAAGTTCCTCAAGTGCGACAACACTGCTGCAGTCTCAATAGCAAGTTGTGCAACTGGAGCGTGGCGTACAAGACACTTGAAGGTCCGGGCCGCCCACCTCAAATGGAGGATCCAGTCTGGTCAATGGGAGCTGAAGTACCAGCCTGGAAGAGAGCTCATCGCGGACATCGGCACAAAGGCGTTGCCAGTGGCTCGGATTAATGAGCTGAGACAGCGGATGGGGATGTCATGGCAGCCTGACTCAGTTGACGAGGTGCATGAGGAGGACAAGGGCATTGTCGCACCTCGTGCCATGAAATTGGTCGCGAAGTACCACTTGGAAAAGGCCATGAGGCTTGTCGTGGTGCTGTCGGCCCTCAAAGAAGTGCATGGAGCTATGGCGGAGAATGTCACCAAGAACGTTGATGAGAATGTGGAGGGTGACCAGATCTTGTACCTCCTCAGCGTCATGATGATGTTGCTGGGAATGGTGCTCATGAAGGTCATTCAAAAATGCCGCTTGCATTGGAACCGGGTGGAGGACGATCCGGCGACGCGTAGAGTGAGGGTCTCTCGTTTGGCTGGTCAATCTTCTTCCGGGACAAGGACTTCTACCAGACCTCAAGGAGGAGGAGATCGAGAACCACGTCAACGTGATGGAGAATGGCAGCAAATGAACCATGGGGGGCAGAGTGCTTCATCCTCATCACCAAGAGGTACCAGGATGAGTGGAGGCATTGAAGATGGACATCAAGGGAGACCGGATCCCGCGCTGAATGAGCCACAGGAGGAACCGCCGAATCAAGCTGACCTACCTGGAGGGCATCATCTGCAGATCACCCTGACTGGGAGGAGGAGGCGATTCCCCAATGAGCCAACGTGGAAGATCTGGTTCGCGGAGTCCAGCAAGTGCTTCCATAGACAGCAGAGCTGCAGGGGATTGAGGAAGGCCAACCGAGTTCATGAACAGCCGGTGTGTGGAGCCTGTCAAAGGGCCACCAGAGGCCAGAGAAGTCTTCGAGAGACGAGCTTCACCTATGAGGACCAGCTCGGCAACTTCCACACCGATGCTCGGTGCAATGCGGTCACGGGACCGATGACTGAGATCCGACAGTGCAAAGTCTGCGGATCCTGAGGCGGCTTGAGCCTAGAGCTCGCTTTTTGGAGGTTGGTCTACTGCCAAAAAGGGCAGAGACCAAGGAGGAGTGCACGTCCGCAAAGGATGACACGCACAAAACGAAAGGTGTACCAAAACGGACACTTGAAACAAACCCAACTGAGACGGTTGGAAGCCGCTTTTGCACAAGCCTGAAAAAGGTCTTCAGGCTGAAACCTTCACTGCCAACTGGCCCTTGGTGTGTTTCACATGGGCGCCAATAAAAAGGAGACCGCGACTCTCAATCCTCCCAAACTGACGCAGCTGCCGCACACGCGCACACGAGCGCAGCAACGTGCGGGCGTGGTAGAAGGCCCGACTCGGAAGCAACGCAAGGCATGGCTCAGATGAAGAAATCCCTTGACTCACTGGGATTGACATCCACGATATTTTTGTCTCTCACCTGAGGAAGCGAATAGAAGCGCACATGTTGGTGTCGCCACGCGGCGTGAAGTCGCGCGGCGGGTGAAATGCCTTTTTCGGGGCCAGTTTTTGGCGTGTAGTCTTAAAGTTGTTCTGGGATCCAAGAGAGGTTGAGAGACCTGAACTAGGACCCTGTAGTGGTACATATGGCATATGGGATGGACATGGATGGACTACAAAGGCTGTTCAACCTCTCTGGGATGTTCTGGGCTCTGTTCGATGTTCACCCGTTGAGGTCTCTTCAGCCTGCTCTAGACCGCGTTTTTTCAGTTTCTTTCGTTGAGCGGTTCCCTTACTTGAGTCGGATGGTTTGGGGGGGGGCAAATTTCATCCCAGACACTCCATGTCATATTTCCCTACACAACTATGTTTTCCCCATGTTATATTTCCTCATGGCCCACCCCAACTGATCGCTTGGGACTGTCATGACGGACTGCCGAGAAACGGTAACCGGGGTGGGCCATGAGGGGTCTGGCTTGATCGGCAGTCCGGCAGTCCTGTCGTGGGCCGTCTGGGCTTTGAAGGGATCGGACCCGAATCGGAGGGGTCTGGGGTTTCTCACCAATCCAGTTTGGTTCGGGACCGAAGGTGTTTGGAGCGTCTGGGCATGCAGGGGTGATCCGCCTTCGCGTTTGGTCTCTTTAGCCCAGATCCATGGCCTTCCTCCTTCCGCGTTCGGGGTGTTAGCACAGCGGGATGAAAGTTGAGTCAGTGCAGAACACGTCTCAAAAGAGCACATTGTGCTCAAAACATGTGCCAGTTCACGATATGGGTGTGCTTAGTCGTTTTGTCCCACAGGGTTGCTGGCTGCGTTTGATCGGCTTTCCCAAACTGCTTTCGGCCCTTCTACTCCTCTTCCCTGGCAACATATTTCAGTGCTCCAATCCCTTCTCAATATTCCGGTGTCTTTTTTCTCGGCAAAATGGCTTGAAGAAACATGAAGAACACCAAGTCCTGACTGCAAGCCTCGCCCCGTCCAAGTTGGTGATATATATATATATATTTTTCATCCTAACTGGACGGGGAACTGGACCGACTAATCCTCTGGGAAGCGACGTCCGATCGCACCAGCACTCGCGGAAAAAAGCACTGCTGACCATTGATTTTCTTATTTGGATTTTGCATTATTTGATGGAACCGGCTGCAAAGAGACATTCCCCAGGTATGGGGATTGACCCCAGTTGGGGAAAAGAACAAATCACCTGATCCGCAAAACCAGGCTTGGGGATGTATATTCCCCCCTTTGGCCGCCCTTCACCATAATGTCATCCTGGCCCAAGTGGCTCTTCACTGCCCTCTGCCTCCTCGTCCTCGTCCTCTGCCACCTCCGCCGCCGCCTCCGCCGCGCTGCCTTCGGCGCTGCCGAGGTCCAACCAGCTGCCCAGCTCGGTCCCCGCGTCCGACGCCGCGCCTGGCCGCGCCGGCGGACGGTCATGGGCCCGAGCGGTACGGTCATGGCCCCCCGGGAGCCGAGCGGAGGTCTGTCCATGTCTGTCCAGGATCACAGGGGGGTGGTGCCTTCTACCGGACCTCAAGCCCTGCCCGAACGGCGAATCCTTGGAGCGCTTCCGGACCGAAGCCCCGAGCTCTGACCTCTTCGCACAGGTGAAGCGGAGAACCAAGCAAGCCACACCTGTCCAATACTGTTTCAGACCGGATTCCTGGATCGGGGTCATTCAGAAGACACCCCCCTGAGACTTAGACCCCTCAAACATCCTTCAACCCACCACCTCTGCAAGCTCCCTACTCACTCAACTCACTCAACGCTACCAGGAATGTGGCCTATGGCCGCTTAGGCCTATAGGCCTATAGGCTTCCAACACGTGGGGACAGTGGCTTCGAAGCGGGCAACCCGTGTTTGGTCCAAGTCCAACGGTGTCCCGCCCTTCGATTCCGGACACAGCGGTCACCCACCCCGGCAGCAAAAAGAGACCGCCCTAAGAATCCAAACGGGCTCTCCATGGCAGGGGTCGGACCCGACACCGAAACGCAGGGGTCCGGACCCGAAACAAACCCTATGTGTTTCAGGGCCCGGATTCTTAGGGCTTTTTGGACCATGAATTTGAGAGATGGGGAAGAAATTGCCAAATGTGCCCTTCAAATCACCCCCATCGATTTGGTCAGAGGGGGAAAGGATAGATGATGTAGGTCAGTCTTCCCAAGTGGTGGGAAAGATCCTGTTGGATCTTTGGTTTGGGTTGATTTCAAAGGCAGAGTGGCCCAAAAGCCTTCCCAAAATGTGTGGAAGCTGCCCATCTTTGCAAGAATGGGTTCGCTCTGCGAAACACACATGGAGTGGGGATGACTGGCAAAGGTGGAAATGATAGGACTACAGATTAACTATAAGCTTAGTCTGATCTGCGTCAGATCTGCGGCCCGGAATTCATCCATCATTCAGGCCATCCCTGGGATGGCCCATCCCTGATGGCTCTGCAGGCCCGGCAGGCCAGCCATGATCTTTACTTTCCCTAGGATTCAAACAACCATCTCAACCGTTCTTTTAATGGTCTTTGAAGGCTAGGGCTTTTGTTGGGGAGAAGGAACGAAGGGCTCGATGCCGTCCGGCCTCCGTCTGTCACGGCTCCCACCGGTGCCGCGGGCGCGGGCGCACGGGATAACAGCTGTTGGATGGTCGCCTGCTGCTCCGCCAGCCTTAAGATTCATTGGGGTGGGGGGATGGGATGGGATGGGATGGGATGGGATGGTAGGCTCTGCCCCCGAGCCTTCCGTTCGACCCTTAAAAGAATGGCTGAGCTGGTGTTCTGGTCTCGAATCACTTGGTAAAACTAATGGTTCTTTGGGTAAAAGTAAAAACCATTTAAAGGAATGTTGGAATCCCTAGGCCTTAGGGTGTCGACTATCGACGGTCGCCCGAAGGCGACGACGGCCGAGGCAGTTGCCCAATGGCTGACCGGGGGCGGCCGACCGGGCCCGGCCCACGAACCAGGTGCTTGATACTCTTAAGATCTCTTAAGTCGGTCTCAAGATCGGACCACAAAATGTATGCCGAGACATATTTTTCCGGTGGCCCTCCATTGATTTGACGGGCCTTGATATCCAAATCACCCTTGTTTTACTACGGATTTTACACTACAACAAATAAGGTCGACCTTTTGTTGGAAGGCTATATAACTACCCAGAAGAATCGATTGACCCATTATAGCCCCGTTGGAAGTCAATCCATCCACCACTGACTCTACCATGATGGTAAAATGAGTCACGACTGGACTCTCAGGGTAAATTCGGGAACAACTGAACACATCTGGTCTTAGTGGTGCTCCCATGGGGAGCAGCCTGGGTCTTGAAGAACAACCCACTGCTTGATCCCGAGCCCACCCACAAAAACATGAAACAACCGTTTCTATAAACCAAGGAGGTTCACCACGTGCTTTTGGATGCTTGCCCAGCAATCTTGACGTGCTTGTCTTTCGGGCCGGGCGTGGTCTTGGATTTGCTGTCCAGGGGGTCTTGGAAGAAAGGAAAACACGACACATCTTCCACAGGTCCGGGGATTGCTCGCTGGTCTTGTCTTTCTTGCTTCTGAGCATGCGACACCAAAAGCTAAAAAAGCTGCCGCACTTGTTTCTTGAGCCAAAATCCAAGTGTAGTTGTTTATGTTCAGTTCGGCTGACTGACATGTCGATTTCGAAAATGGGTGGAGTGGTGCATCGGATTTCTCACTCCACCTGATGGCTTTGCCATCATACAACTTCAAAGCTGCCTCGTGAGTGGGAGCTCTCAGTGTCCTCATTCTCCCTGTTTCCGCCGGCAACCGTCGTTTCAATGCCCAACCAAACAGGCATTTGATTCGGATCTTCCGGAGTCGAGCCATCACCAGCGAGCGAACGAGCCCAGGCCCCCTCGTTGGTGTCAGTCTCTCCTCTTGATTCATAGCCCTGCAGCCTAGCTTGGTAGCCAGGGCTTTCCCCAATCATCAGCCCCGGCGCACTGTGAGCTGAGGCTTCCACAGCAGCATAAGGGCGGCGTTGGTCTTCCGGCTGCGCAGCCCTTCCCCTCTCCAAAGCCCGAGACCTCAGTGGACGGTCTTCTCCATATAGCCCCGGAGTCACCGAGCGAGGTGGAGGAAGTGGGTTCGACGAAGCAGAACCCAGTTGCTCATCAGCAGCGCTTGAGGCAAAGCGCACATAGAAAAAGCTACCCCCTCCACTCATAGATCTCAGCCAAATCAGCGTTGCGGGAGTTGACCCAATCGTCGATGATCTCCTCCCGCTTCCAGCCTTCTCGGGTACTGGTCCGGTGAAAAGCCACTGTCACCCTCGTCGAAGACATCCTCTCTATCATAAAGGGCGTCCCCCGATGTAGGGGGTGAAAGGCTCTCACCCTGCTTTTCTTCAGCACACGAACCCACCATTCACCAGCTCCATCGCCACTGCCAAGGCACTCCCACCGGTCATTGCATGGGGGGAGTTGCAAATCGTTCCAGCAGCCACGGAGTGTCCGTGCCCAATCCACGGTGTTGAACCGGGGCGCGAACAGCACACAGTCGAGGGTGCCATGGCTGCACATGCGACGCGTCCGAAAGGGTGCCAAGGTGGCAAATGTCGAGCGAGCGATCGTCGGCCGGATTCGGAGTTGGGCCAGGTTCATCTTCCCTAGACCATCTTGAACTCTCTGTCGTCCTACTTGGGCCAGGTTCATTTTCCCTTGGCCATCTTGATTCTGTTCTTTTCTGGGATGCGTTAGACCTCTTTGTGGACTGGCATTCTGCCGTCTTGCGCCAATTGCTAGCTACGAAAGTTGCGATCGCTCCCAATGCAGTCACACATGCGATTCGTGGAAGGCCTCCAACACAAGGCATGGCTGCAATTAAGCGCAATGAGGCCATGGCAACATACACAGCCTTCTTCACAGCACCACCATTACCATCACCAGGCTGTTGGGAGTGACACAAAGAAGCTGCATCGCGAAGGCCAACCGCATTCCTGAATGCTTGCCAGGATTGTGATTGAGTGATGGACTTAGTCAGCAAGTCCGCACATAGTTCCGCTCCAGGCACGTGCTCCACATCCCAAAGACGGTGCTGCAATCGTTCACGAAGTACATGACTTCTCAACCTCAAATGACGAGTCCTCCAAGGACCCGACGGAGCTTGGAGCAGCTGTAAGCCCGACATGTTGTCCCCCCTGAGCGTGAACGCCCCTTCTCGAGGATGTTCTGATGCAGCACGTTCACCACAGCACCAACACTCTCGCCCAGGGTGAACCCGTCGATGTAGCCCAGAAGCTCACTCTCCGTTGCGCTCAAAGTAGCAAAGGCTTGTGACTTCGACTCCCAAGCCACCAGGCATCCACCCCACATAGCCATGATCCCTTGGTGACCACGACCTCCAGCTGGAGCGAATGAGGAGTCCGTCAATACATCCAGCCGAGACATCGACTGTTTCCGACCATGCTGATCAAGTTCTGTTGAGCAAGGTCCATATTCCAATGCCAGATCTGGGGTTGCAGCCAGGTATCCAATGACATGGCGAGCCAGTTTCAGCACACCCTTGGGGGATCTGGTGACCCGTGCACCCAAATAAGCAACAGCAAAACTGAGGTCGGGTCTCGTCCTAGTCGACAACCACAGTAGTTCTCCCACCAGAGTTTGACACTGCTTCACCTCAGTAGGGTCAATGTCTTCCTCCGGCTCGAGCTCAATGGCCTTGGGAAGCGGCGAGTACCGCAATGGAAGGTCAGGATGCCGGGTCACGAGTTCTCGAGCATAGTCCGGCTGGCCAATCATGAGGTTTGCCCCATTCCACTTCATTTCTACTCCACAAAACTTCCTCCACTCCGACGAGACCACCCACGTTGGTGTAGAGCATCTCCAGGTTGAGGCCAGCTTCGTCAAAAAGGCCTGCGCCATTGGTCGGGGGCCCATGATGATGAAATCGTCCACGTAGGATAGAGCAAACCCCGATGTTTCACCCTCCTCCATGACATTCACGCAGTCCCCTTCTGCCCCAGACGCAGTCATCAATCTCCACACATTTGGTTCTGGCGTCGCATTGAGCCAGTAGTGCACACCTGACTCCCACCACCGTAGGCTGCGGAGAACATCATCCCTGTATGCCTGCCAGTCCGACGGAGAGCTGTCCAAACCATATACCGCCGCCTCAACCACCCATCGGGTGTCAGCAGAAATCAATCCAGCTTCGATCAAAATAGCCGGGGGCTTGGTAACCATGAGTCGGTGTGACTTCCGAGGTGCCAGCAAGAAAGCTGAGGAGACATCAGTGATCCCTATCGACCACTGTTCATAGGCTGCCTTTCTCAAAGCGCACCTCAAAGATCCTCCATCTATTCCGCTGGCATACAGCTCAAACGATTTTCCTGCAGAAGAGGTCACCTGCTTTTCCTCCTTCACAGACTGAGAGTGTCCAGCTCGTCGTGCAGTGTCCTCCACCAAGTTTCCGCAGAGAACTATTCTTGATCTTTTCTTTCCATCCGGTGCCTTGACCGTTGGTACCAATTTCGATGGCACAACCAGCATCTCCTCATAGCCCGGCTCATGACAAAGATCTCGGACTGACACTGGTCGAACAGCCTTCGTGGTGCGTTCCAAGGAGTTCACCTCCTATTCCAATGACGGAATCCAATCCTTCAGCTCCTTCCTCACCTGCGCCAGAGGAACAGTGTATGTCTGGAGGACTGCATGGACATTCAAGGGAGGCTGCTGCTCACCATCGGGATGTTCTCCAACCACCCCTTCAGCCATCTTAGCCATTTGATAGCCCATGTCAAAGTCCCTGATCTCTGTCAGTTCATTTTCCAGGGCCAGGACATTCTTCTCCAAATAGTCCATTAGCGCTCCTCGTAGTTGTCCATCCTCTTCGCCCACCACCACATCTTTCAATAGGTCGCTCCATAGCTGCTTCCAGCCCCAATGTTCTTCGTGCGTCCACTTCGTCAGGTTATAGGCTTCCTCAACCCCACACTCCACGGTGCCATCCATAGCCTTCTCCTCAGGCTGCTCCAAGGGAGTTTCGCAGAAGTCACAGCATTCGCGCCCTTCCAACTTCTTCATCGATCTACCCTCCGCCCCTTGTAGACCACACTCCTTGCAAACAGAAGAGAAGGACTCCCCCCCAGTCCAGTTGTGTACCTGGACTGGTTGTTCTCCCCCGGAAGTGGCATGTAGTCGATGAAGTCCAGGATCCGGCGATGACCTTGGAGGTGGAAGTTGGGGAAGCATTGGTTCCATCGGTTGTTTCCCCGTCAACCTGCGCAGTGGCTTCTCAGGCTCGGGGACCATTTGAAGTTCTAGAACTGCTCGTTCAGCTCCTGGATCTTGTTGGACCACCACCCTGTCATGTTGGACCTGTTCACCTTCCATCAGAACATATCCTTGTGACATGAAGGGAGATGGACCCATGATGGTCATGGTTCGAAAAGGTGCCGTCAAAGGGCCAAAGCCTGCTCTGTGCCATCTCTTGGTTTTCACTGTGACTCTCCCCCCAATCGGCAAGAGTGCTGTGGATGGGACACCAAGATGAGAGCATTGGCGCCGAAGTCGTTCCTCACCCACGTAGCGAGCAATCCCCGGCCACCATTTCTGTTCCAGGCCACTCTCCTTAATGAGAAGACGAAGGCGTCGCTTCACCTGGTTCACCTCACACTCAATCCGCCCATTGGATGGTCCTTCATCTCCACCCGTCATAGTTTGATATAGTCCAAACCGTCGGCAGAAGGACTGAAAGGATCTCGACAAAAAGGCACACTCTCTATCTGTGTGTACCCGGAGCATGTGGACCCCCATAGCCTTGAATCGACAGAAGATGCGGGTGGCAACCTTGGTGACGTCCAGTTGTGACCTGCTTTCCAATGGTTCCACCAGTGTGATGTTCTGCACCCCCACCGGCTCTCCCAGGCTTTTGATGTAGTCCTCCCAGGCTCCATTCAGTCTTTGTACCTGATCATCGTCAGGTTTTGGATGTTCATCATCATCATCCTCCTCTATTGGCAATGGTTCGCCATCTTCTCCATCCAGCTCCTGACCTCCTTCATCGTCCGGGGCTTCTCTTGGTAGCCGTGGGATGGCCACTGTTGCAACCAGAATGTATTTCGCTCTGGTTCCCAGTCCCACATCCTCCCCTCCGCCACAGGCAGTAGGCTGCTCGATCCCCACGAGTTCGGCGATGGGGTGCATCCATGCCCATCATTTCCATGCATCGCCTGCAGTCTCTTCTGTAGGGCTGATGCTGGTTCCTCACATGCTCCTTCCAGGCCTCCATATCCAGGCGATGAAGTGCAGGTTGACCATCACATTCGTCATGTCGAGACATATTCAACCTGCCCAAGTATCTTTTCAGACTCAGTTGGATCGCAGCCACAAGCCCAGGTGCCCATGCCGACCATTCTCGTGATTGACATAGCCGTCCTCGCAATGTAGTGGCCGTCTCCTGCCCAGTTCCATCACCTGTCATGCCGTCCAATTCCTCCATGTCTGGCATATTGGCCACCATGAGGCTTGTGGGTTTTCTCTTGACGTGCCCAACTGGGCCTTGGTCCAGGGTGATGAGTTTCGCGTTCATGACCTCCATCATGTCCTGAATCTCTCGGAAGTTCCAGAAGCTAGGCATGTCCTCCTCCATGGCTTCCTCCTTCATGTATGTTGCCGGATCCCTCGGAGACTCCATCAGGTAAGCAGGGGGAATGGAACGATGCTTTGGACCTCCTTCTAAGCGCACCCTGGCCTCCTCCGCCATCAACCATAGTCCAATCTGTTTCAAGACCAACGCCAGGTCCCCATAGGCCAAGTCCTGCTCCATGGCCGACAAGAGCCTTCCAGTCCAAAGCGCCTTTCATCTCGCCCCCTCAACGGCCGTGGACCAGGTTCTCGATGTCGTAGTCTAGAGACACTCCTGCACGGAGGTCCCCCCACCACCGCCACCACATGTCCATTTCTCGCCAGATGGCATAAGTATCCCCAGGTTCCAACTGCATGCATGTCGAACTGGGTGCCCAAGGCAATGTCCACGTTGAGGATCTCATAGCCATTCCAATCTTCTGCCGTCCAGGTCTTGCAGTCCTTTCCGGAATACAGGTGAATGATCACACCAGATGTGGATGTCTTCGTCGTTGATGCCGGTTCCAAGGACACTCTTCCGGGTTGTAGTGGTCCTGACCCCGCATGTAGTTCCACACCTCCTGAGGAACCTCTGGAAATCTTGATGACCACCATTTGCGAACCTCCTCATCCAGCATCAGCTCCCCCTTATCCTCCTTCTCCATGATGTCCAGCAAAGCAAGGGCCTGCTTCTCAGGAAGTACAGGGCAACCGCCTCACAATCTGCACTCAATCTTTCCACTTTGAGGATGGGTGATCTTCACGCCAGCCGAGGTCCACTGCAACCTGTAGCCCAACTTCACCAGTCGGTGCAAGGGAACTATCACTTCCACGTTGTCCCTGGTCAGCAAAGTGTTGTGCTCCTTGACACGGAACAGGGTCGTCGATCCCGATGCCAATTCCACGGTGACTGGGACCAATCTTGCCATCTCATGAGGACGGGCTCGGCGTAGTCCATTTGTTGCGCCACCGTCCAAGAGAGCCACTGCTTCACAACCATCTGAGCATTGTGGCTTCAGCTCCTTCAATCGCAGCATCTTCATGCTCCTCAATGCCTTCAGAAGCGATGTTGCCTCCGTCAACAGTTCAGCCGTGGCATCCCGGCCCTGCGGCTTGTCCGACACCCCCTCTGCCCTCGTTGTAGGCGGTGATCCACCATCTGCACGAAGATCCTCAAGCTTGCCCGTCTCTGGTACAGGCTTCTCCCCCGTCTCTGGCTTGTCGGAATCCTTCGCGGTCTTCACCTTCGCCACCTTCTTCACATCTGGCTTCACCACCTTCGCCCCGTTCGGACAGTCCTTCTTCATGTGTAGTCCACCACAATTGAAGCAGCGACCCTTCATGTCCGTATTGTCATGGGCATAGGTGCAATTGGTGCCACGCTTGCAACCTTCCTCGCTCTTCCAGAACTTGCAGGCCGGCTTCTGGGCAGACCGATCCTCCGATTCCGTGACCCCGAAGGAAGACGCCATAGCCTTCACAGATGTAGTCGGCTGGGTTCCTGCAGCTCCAGTTGCGGTGGTCGCCGGCTGTGACTTCATTGGTGTAGTCAGCGAAACCTCTTCCACCTCCGCCTGCACATACTCAGACAACTCCATCACTGCCTCCACCGTCGGCGCATAATCAACTCTCAATTCTTGCCTCACGTTTGCAATTCGAAAGGCCATCTGAGCTCCGCCTGATTTGGTGGCACTATCAACCATACGTTGCACAGTGACCATGAGGACCACAGGGTCAGGTAGGGTGAGGTTGAGTTCTTGTGCTCTGGTCAGCCATCGTCGCCATAACCTCACTTGTGTTAACAAGTCCGACGTCCCCGTGGCAAACTTCGTCTCCACCAAACTTTTGAGGAGTTGCGTTTTTTCAGCCCCTCCTCCCGGCTGGTATGCCACATGCAACCGGTACAGGATGTGGACCACCGAGAGCTGTCGCCCACTGACAAGATCACGCCGGAGCTGATCAGGCAATGCTCCCAACAACATTGCAATGCCCCGCTGTTCGATCCTCTGCAGTGCAGGCTCCACCACCACCACCGGCTTTGCGCGCAGCCGCTCCAGGGGAGTCATCGTCAGCCAACGGGCATAGTGCTCCTGTGCAATGGAGAGCGACTCTTCCCACCAGGCCTTGGCGCTGTGCGAGATGTCAGCCATCAATGGAAAACTCATCGTGAGCCAGTCCCCAAACAGGATTGAAGCCCCTTCAACATTCGGGGAAGGTAAGGCAGGAAGTTCAAGATTCCTCAGCGCCTCCGTCGTCGATGCGGTCGACGCCCCACCACCAATCCTCACCACCTTCTGCCCAGATCCATGGTCCAAGGTAGAGCTCGACATTGGGTGTCGCCCTTGAGGTAGTCCAGGGGGTTGATCTGGTGCAGGGTCTCCCAAGTGTTGACCACTCGAAACCGTCTTGTAGGAAGTCGTATCCGTTGGTTCACGGGATGTGCCAAGTCGACGAAGCTCCCTTTGAAAGGTTTCCTCTGCTTCCCGAAGAATTCTGGTTCTCAGGGCTTCAACATCATCCGGACCCGGCGATGTCGAACCCGAGTCCTGTGCCATAGCTCCAGCACCTGCCGCCGGAGTGCTCCCACACGTCCGTGCTTCACCATGACCTCCAGGATGAAGACCTTCACCTCCAGGTTGACCTCCCTCCACCAGGTTTCTCCTCGCTGCCTCCTGAACCCCTGGACTCCAAAATGGATTGATGTTGGGTGACCGAACCGGTGTTTGCCCCATCCCCTGCCCATAGTCCAAGGCTCTCGGGTTCATCAACCCATTGCCATCACCAAACAGCCCTCCTCGAGCTCCCGGATCAGTGCCAGGTCCAAGAGGTGCTAATAGACCCTGACCTTGAGGTTGTCCCGCTAGTGCTTGTTGAAGTACATGATAAGTTCGTTGGACCGCATCATGAAGTGCCCCCAACCCAACCGCCAAACTAGCCGATGTCGAGGGTACCACAACAGGTTCGCTGGTCTTCACTGACTTCAGCGTTGCTGCCCCCACACCCCCACCGTCTTCCAGCGCTTTGGGGTTGCCTTCTGATGGCCCAGCCACAGGTGGTCGAAAGGAGGTTGGTGGACCCCTAGGAGTGGTTCCCACATCTGATGCCCTCCTTGGCCCCGCATCCGCCGAGCGTGACCTCCTCACCTCTTCTTCTATCAGCGCATCCAAGCGGCGATCAGCCTCACCGATCACCACGGGTGCTGCATCAGCAGCCGCCTTCTCGCCAGCAGCTCTTCTTCTTCTCATCGTTGCCGACGACATGGCTCAAGCCGCTTGGGCTCATAACCTGAGCATGCGACACCAAAAGCTAAAAAAGCTGCCGCATGCTGCCGCACTTGTTTCTTGAGCCAAAATCCAAGTGTAGTTGTTTATGTTCAGTTCGGCTGACTGACATGTCGATTTCGAAAATGGGTGGAGTGGTGCATCGGATTTCTCAGCTTCAACTCAGAGACTGAGAAGGCCCGAACGGCCTGAGGAGGTGGTGAAATCGACCTCTTCCAAGTCTACCAAATGACTTCGAAATGCATCGATTCTCCGAAAAAAGTCTCCGAACTTCCAAACGTCCTCCTGTCCTCCCCCTTCTTCTAAATGATCTCTGCATGGCCTGTTTTGTTGGGGGGTCCCGGTGCCATGAGTCTTTTTTGTCTGGCCCGGTGCCCAGCCAGGTGATCCCGGCGGCGAAGCCCAAATGCCCCCCAGACATGATCGTGGTCATGTAGGCTTAACCTTCCAGACATGGATTGGATTGAAACACCTCTTATTAAATGATATGGGTGTTTATTCATCTAAGAGTCTACATTTGATTGACAGTGACATTGCCTTTAAAGAAAGAGGAACTCGGGTTCTATTGACTCCGGAGTCCAGGGTTTCGCATCCGTTTTCGTGCTATTCACCCTCAGGTCCCCTCCGGTCACCTCCGGTCATCCAAGGAGCTGCATCCGAATGGCACGAAGCTCCTCACCCTGCTGACGGTTCCTCAGATGGCTGCACAGCACGACCCAGCCAATGACGTGTTCACGCGGGAAGTCACGAGGTGCTTTCCCATCCCCCCACCTGATCTAATAGCAGGATCCTACCCTGAAAGTATGGACGTGGCATATGGATGAACATGGTCTCCTTCCTATACAAGGAGCGAGGACCCTCACTCGATGGTCGGAGGATGGAGGCAAAAAAGCATCCGCGAAACCCACCACCCGCCGCGAAACCCAAAAAATCCTGGACATTTCAGGGAGTCGGAGAAGACTTGATGGAGGAACTCGCTGGGATAAAAGCCTGAGACTTGTGATTTCTCCTGTCTCTAAGGTGGTGCAACATGTCTCCCTCCAAGAGTAGTACATTGTGGATCTGATCATATAGTAGTACCCTTCCAAAAACACATTGATCCACCTACAATCCACCAATCCACCCATCCCCAGAGAACACACGTCTGAACGATGAAATGACAAATCTCAAAGACAGTGTCAATACCGAGTGTGTCCACTGGAGATCTGGAGAAAACTTGAGGAAATCACAGGTAGAACTTGTGGGGAAATGTTTGCCATTTCAGCAATTGGTCCAAGGCTCTGCACTGATGTTTCTTAGGTGCTTAGCCAATGAGTGCGCCTAAAAGGCCATGGATTGAGGCAACTCCACATACAATCACTCCGAGAATATACATCGATGACTATAACTCTGGTTGTAACTCCCAAATAGCATAGCTGTTGTGTTTAGGACTCCGGACTCTGGTTCTGTGTTGGGTGAAAGAAGCTTCACAGGTTCATGCACTAAACCTTGCCCCACTTTTCACCTACCAAAGTGAAGCTCCGAAACCCACCCAACCCACTCTGTTTAACAGCTCAGTTTCTCTTCCACCAACTGGCCGTTCTGCTCTTCGATGATGGTCATCTTCTGCCTTCCGCACCCGATCTGTGTGTCGTCGAACGTGCTGCGTGAGCGTCAGCCGAGGTGCGTGCTGCGTGAGCGTCTATACCAGCACCACCCAGTTTGGGTGGTTGATTGACCCCCCTGGCCGTGTATTTTGCATCAAATAACCTCTCTCACTCCTGGTTTGGGTGGTGCTGATAAAGCTCTCTTTCACTGCATACGTTGATGTAGCTTTCAGTATAGCCAGTCGCCCCAAAAGGGTTCTACCAATCACAGGGTAGTAGGGTCAATTCAAGACTTTTGGATGCACATTCTCCTAGCCCAAGGGTTTGGACCATCCGGCATGTGGCATACCACCAAAACCATCACATGCGCAGGGTCTACCTACATGGTGGGCGACGAACGTCACCATCCCCACCCCACCCCACCCCATCACTTCTGTGGCACATGCTAGCGGATCCACACGTGGCGTTGCAAGTCCAGTTGAAGTGTGCATGTGTAACAGTGAACCTGGCGAACACACACACACACATTTTAAAAAAAAAACTGATCATATGTTTGGGTATACCAGTATATCATCCCATTACCAGTAACAGTGGATGATATGATCATGGTTAGGTTGCAGGCCTTGTTCAAGAATAGTGATTTGCTTGTTTGCAAACAGTTACAGGTAAGAACGGACCAACATGGACAAACCCAAAGCATCTAAATCCCCCAAGAAAGTGGAGGTGTCCGCCCCAGCGCGGAACAGCTCGGACCAGGTCGCCCGAGGCTCATCCGAATCCAAAGACTCGGAAGCCACAGACCCAGAGCTTCAGAAGTGCTATGTTTGCTCATTGGCGATCTTACAAACCAACAGAGGTTAAGCAACCTTATAAGACCCTACTGGGATACCTATCAGATAGCCTATAGGGTTCTTCAACCTCTGTTGGAATGCTGGTGTTCCGGATTTGTGACTTGGCGATGGGCTATTCCAATATGCTACTGGTCTTCACCACCCTTGAGTTCCCGAAGACACGACGGGCAGCTTTTGATCGACCTTCCCAAAAGAATATGACCATGCAGTATTATTTAAAAGATTAATACATTTGTACGAGCAGTTCCCGGGCAAGCCGGCGGCGGAAGTTTCCTATAAGAACAATTATCTAGAATTACAGCTAATGTAAGTGTTCGTAACACAGAAGTTCCTCTAAACTTCCTTTGTACAAATGATATAGTAAAGCAAAGTATCGTGACGTTAAAAATGATGTCCGTAGTTTTGTCAACTCTTGTGGAAGAACTCTATGCATGATGACAAAAATCATCGATGGCCTCCAACCTACTAGCGATGGCCTCCAACCTACTCAAGAAATCGACCGTGCTCCCAAAAGACACCCCTTTCTGAACGGCCACCTGTTGGCAGTTGCCTCAGCCTGGCGATACCTCAACGCGCCACGCAGCTCCGTCGAAGCAACGCGCTCCGTTTGGCGGTGCTGGAGTGGGGGTGAAGGGCGCGGGAGAAGCGGAGCCCAGCCGAACCCAAAAGGTGCCGCACCTTTGAGACCTTTGAGACCGCACCTAGAAGTCCAGTTCGACTATTTTCGGCACCATTGCACGTACAGGAAGTTCCTGAACTCGGATCACCTAGTCAGACCGTTTTACAAATGGTCGACTGGACTCCCAGGGGATAGGGATCCGTTTTCGTACCGAACCTCAGGTACGGCACGACTGGACCCGACAATGGCACCACCCCCCAGTCCCACCGTACCTGAGGTTCGGTACGAAAACGGATCCCTAGGGATAGTGTAGAGATCCCAAAGACCCAGGAGACCGATGGGATGCAGAAAGATCATGAAACGACCTTGTGTGTTTTTTTCGGGATCCACATACCGAACCTCAGGTTCGGTACTTGTTGGGCCCGACCCGGTCGGCGCCTACATCAACAGTCTCCAATCCCCTAACCTCAGGTTCGGTACGGAAACGGATCCCTATAGCCAGCACCCTCCAACAGGTCACCAATTGAGACCTGTTAGGGCCTTTTCCAACCCTTTAGAGGAGACCTGTAGAGTCGGGTGCTGGAGGGGATGGTGTTCCATGCTCAGAGTTTGCTTCGTTGGTGCCTCGTCGGGTTTTCGCAAGTCCACTGCAGAACCTTCGTCCGTTCTCCAGGATCCATCCGAAAACGGGGTGAACGATGGTGAACGCGGGCCCATGCAAGGGTGCCTGGCGGAGTCTGAGTGGAGAGTTTCAATTCTCCCCGATTCATCACCAGAGTCCTAAACAGAATGCAACAGCTAGCCGCACGGATGCCACCCTCCTAAACCGAGGCTAGACACGCACGCCACGCAACGTCACGAAACGAAACGTCATTCAGCTTGAGCGACCCAACCGGAGGGTCCACCAACAGAGGTGGCTCAGAACCCTACCAGCACCGACTGAAACCAGGTCGACGGTCACCACTTGAAACCTCCAACAGGGCCTCACGCCCACCCAACCCTGCAACAGGAGACCGGTTCGCTGCTGGGTCGGGCGCCGGTGACGGGTCCACGACGGGATTCGGCCAGTGGCCGCGCTCGAAGGGATCGGTCCGGAGCGATCCATCCGGTCATCAGGGCACGAGGATCCGGTGGTTCCGGCAAGGTCCGTTTGCCGCATAGTAACAACTCATAACTCAGACTCATAAGATCTATCCTGGGAGTCAGACTATCAAAAGAATGGTCTAACTAGGTGACCCGAAAAGGAATATGCTTTACTTCAGTGGGGCAAAATAGAGTCTTTGGACTTCTAGGGTCAATAGTTAACCATGTTTACTCCGTGAGTGAACAAGTAGTATCGTCCTTTCAAACAGCGGACCTCTGAAACTGAGCCTAGGGCCTATGTGGCGCCCACACATCGCAAGCAGCAACGTCTGCCTGAACAATAAGGATTTAAAACATGCCCTGGCCCGAACCAACACATAGGCTTTGGTTCGGGTCCCGACCCCTGCGTTTCGGTGTCGGGTCCGACCCCGGACCCATGGAGAGCCCGAGCTCGGATTCTTAGGGTGAACTCTTCAGATCTAAACCTGGGGCTCTGGGGCTCCTGGGTCCGGGAGAGTCGCAACCAATCAACACGTTGCCTGGCAAAACGGCACCCTCAGCCCTCCGGGGACATCGGACATCGCAGCAGCCCAGCACCCAACAAAACACTCCAAGATCCTCCGATCTTCCAAGGCACTCCTTCTCCTTTTCAACCAACTTCTCTTGCGTCTTCAGCGCCTCCAGCAGCTTCTCCATGTCGCTCCGCCGGGAATCGCGCCGCCTCACTGGCCGCGTGCACGTGGGCCTGGGGATCCCCACCAGCACCGAACCGGTCTTCGTTGCATGGAGGGTTGGGTGGGAAAGGCCCTGTTGCAGGTTTCAGTCTGGGTGACCTGAAGTAAGTCGGTGGTGCAGAAATCCTAGGCTTTCCCAACAAACAACGATAGAGACCACTTTGAGATGGGGGCTTCAGAATGGTTCAGTGATTGAAATGAAAACACATGAAAACACGTCTCGGGTGTTGTGCCATATCTACTCTGGCATCACAGGAATTGAAGCTTGTCAACTTTGAATCTTGCTGCGCCCATTGGCCATCATCGCCCCATTACCCCAAAACCGCTCAGGACGTAGGACCTCCCAAAAGCTGTTTGGTCTGAGATCCGGTGCTTCGAGGCGCACTTGGCACTTCGAGGCCAACCCGATGACTTGGGCCTAAAGCATCGACTGACCAGTGACTCAACTGACCAGTGACTTCTCCGTCGTCTTCAGACCAGTTTCTTCCTCACCAAGTAAGAGCCCCACATCTACGGGTGTGTATCTTAATAGAGACACCCAACCACTAAGAAGGGTCTTTTGTTGGGGCTTTGCTGGTTCATGCGGTGAAGGTCTCAGTGGCCACCTTCACCATTTGGCTGGGAGAAGCTTCCAGAATCTTCCGGAAGATCCCGTGGGTGGGAGGTCGGTCTTCCCATGGTCGGTGGTTCCAGTCGACCCTACATGGAACACCCACATCCCGGTGCGTCTCCTATGAGGATTGATCGTCTTCCAGTCTCCAGGTCTCCGGCACCCGGGTCCAGGAGGAGTGGTGGAGGCCATCCCTATTAGCAAGGACGCTACAAGTAGGGGCTTGTGGCCTTAGTACTAGTAGCATTCTTACTACTATAGGAACAAGAAGCTACTAGGAGCAAAGGGCATCGCTATGTCCATCTCCAGCATCCCTTCAGCACCGAAGACCGAGGTCGGTCGGATGAGATGGGGAGAGATCTGGGTGACCTGGAATTGCAGTCTGAAGCAACCAGGGGAGGCCGATCCAACCCACTAACAAAGCCTTTGTTTGGGTATACCCTGGGAGTCCAGTCGACTATAAAAAGAATGGTCTACCTAACTAGGTGACCCGAGTTGAGGAATTTCCTGAAACCTTCAGTCGGTCAAAATATAGTCGAACTGGACTTTGTTTGGGTATATGGATGTATATGGCATTTGCTGGGCCCAGTGGAAAATGGTGATGTTGCAGGCCTTTTCCAAAAATGATGGTAATCTTCTATCGACGGGTTGTAGGTTTACTGGGACACAGCCAAGACAACCCAAGATGCAAGATCTGCTTGGATTCGGCCACGAACCGAGCCAAGAAAAATCACATCAGCAAAACCATGCAAAACCAGGTTCTGGGAGCAGTCCAGCTATTTCACCGGTTCTTTCCCATCTGAGTTTGGGTGACAAATCCCTCGGGTTTTCACCGTTCTTCTCTTCGCTCCAAGCGTCGCCAACGTGCTGCAGCTGGACCCGTCCGTCCCGTCGCGGCTCTCGTCGCGGCTCTCGTCCGCGTCGGAGTCCGCGGAAGAACCGCTGTCGGAGCCGGACTCTTGGAACAAGGGAGGGCCATAGGCCTCGTCCACCAAGCCCTGCAGGTGACGGCTAGGCTTGGCTTGGAAGAAGGCGGCGGAAGTGAGGTGGGCCAAACGGCGGGGCAAAACGGGCCAAAGGGCAGGTCTGACCTGCTGTGGGGATGAAGGGATGGGAAGAAGAATCACCAAGCAGGTTGGGTACAGACCAAACACTGATACCAGCAACCCTGAACCCTACAGGTCTCCTCGAAATCAAGGCTTGTTGGGCCCCCC